TACCTTCTACATTTTGCTTCTTGTGTGTGGTAAAGGATTTATTACTCAAGCGCAACTAATTTTTAATGCCACAAATGGTGCTTTATCCCTCACTTCCTCCTCCTCCTCTTCCTCCTCCATTCGGATAGAAGGGCAAAGATATCTCATCAACTTTAAGGACTCCAAAAAAATCTGTAGCTGCAGAGCTCTGCTTAATTCCAGCACTGCCCATACCCTGCTGCCCACAGAGTAACATACAAACATCCAAACATAGTTTTGCAAAGTCTTGCTAGAGCAGTCTGTCAGCCTCCGTGTTAAGCACTGATGCCCCTGAAGAAGCATTAATGATGGAGCTAAAGGCCAGCATGTCTTAGATATTTACTTTTAAAATGTATAGATGCAGTTACCCAGCCTGAGCTTAACAATCCTTCCACACACTCACTCCATCTCCACAACCACTGTCATCATCCGTGTAGGCTACAGCCACACTCCCTCAGATCTCACCATCTCCACCTGTCGCGGGTCCAGCTGGGTGGGCACGGAGGAAGGCACGGAAAATTGGATCTTCCTCCTTGCATCCGCGTCTGCCTCTCGGTCCATCACCTCCGACTCTGCGGGGAACAGCACCAGCAGCAGCAGCAACGAGTCCCGCCTGTCGCCTCCGCAGCCGAGCGCACAAACCTAGAGTCCAGACGAGGTCAGCTTCAGTGGAACCGCCTGTGGAAAAACTGCAGTAAAGTGCTTATACTTGACAAAAACTCGCCGTTAGTGAGTAAACAGCGGCATCTCTCTCTGTCCCGGCGATCCTCTGGTCTCTGGAGTTCCGTTTAACAGCAGCGTTCAGCTCCTCTTCCCCGCCTCCCCGCCAGTCTCCCCTCCCTCTCACACTTTGTCCGCTGACCTTAATGCGTGAGGAGGAAAGAAGAGCAGTGAAGGTTTTGTTGCCTTTACTGGAGCTGGAAACTTTGCGTATTTGCATTTTGAAGTTGCCCGATAAAGAAATCTACCCGAATGAAGGGGAAATTGGAAAAAAAAAGCAGAGATGACGAGGATGTTACACAACTTCAAAGAATTTCACAAACTAATAAACAACTAAAGTCAGCATCGAGTCATAGTGAACTAAAAGAAACGAATATTAAGATATTAAGAAGATGCCACTCACTGCTATCTTAGCAAAAATGTGCTGAATCCTGGTTGGGAAGAAATCGATTTTTTTTTATTTTAATGAATTAACGAATTAATTAATTTTAGGTAGGCACTTAAGGTCGTATTTTATTGCACTGACGTTGTGTGTGCAAATTTGCGTGCTCACTTTGAGGACGAGCAACAAACTGGAAATATAAATAAATAAAGATCTAATCGCTCCCCCCTTCCACAGGCAAAAGTATTAACCTCTGCTTTCGCCGGTGCCCACCTTGGCTTTACCATATGCACAGCGAATATATGCGAGGCACACAGTTGCCATGACAACAGCTTTTCTTCTTAGAGAGCTGGCAGTGCAGGAAGTGTGTTGGAGTGTGTGCTTCGGCGTAAGTTCGAGGAGAGGAGAGGCAGGGCAAGAGAGGACAAATGCATTTGTCAGCGCGCAACACAATCAGCGGCCAAGCTGTCACGAACTGTCATTTATTTGTAAGTGGGATCTCCCCGAGCATGTAGGCTATTTCAGGCGGAAGTGTCCTATTTTTCATGTGTCATACAATTCGAAAAGAAGTGGAAAAAGGAAAACTTTCACCCAAATCATTATGTTTTCCTAAAACTCAAATAACAGAATACATTTGGTGACTAAATATAACCAAAAGGAGATTGAAAAACAAACTTTTCTAAAAGCTTTCTCCTTGTGGTGTATATTGTGTGTATATTGGAAAACGAGCCAGATGCCCCTGTAAGCAGAGGGCCCCATGCTTGTTCCCACTTGCCACAAGCCCAAGGGTTCACCCTCTACTGAAGTACTGGACTTGAGAAAAGCTCTGGACATCTGCCAGCTTCAGAAAGAGTTGCTAATGACAGCAAACTCAGGCCTGCTGGGCGAGGTCCGCAGATAAAAGAGCTCGCCACCTTGGACATTTTAAAAGAGCCCATCTGTGGCTCAGCTCCGCTTCAGTTCGTCTGTCGTCCTTGAAAACATAATGTATGTTTGCGAGCACTTTCAACAACACGTGACACCAAGCAACACTGGGATGACAAGTCAGCACCATCTTATGGCCAAAAGTAAAGAAATCACTTCACTGAGGGGAGGTTTGAATGCAAGTAAATATATGATAGTCCAAACTCACGACACAGCACAAAAATGAGCAGAGCTGAAGGTCAAATATTTATAAGATTATTGTGTTATTATAAATGTAAAGTAGAATCCACTACAGATCATATATGTAAGCGTTCCTGTGTGGCACTGTGTAGTTCCTAAAACCACCAGAAGGTGGCGACAAACTGCTAAGAAAAAGCAGCCATTTCTAATTTCTTATGACTGACATTTGCACACAGCAATATTTAAATTGTTAAGTATTGAAATAACAAGAATATTTATTTACAATATTTAAAAATATGAATATTTTAATATATTTCACAAAACCTCAAAGCAATAAAACATGATGCAAATATCCACAGAAGACTGATGTTTTTACTTCTGCTGAAGAAGGTAATTACTTGGCTGTGTTTATTTACAACACACTCTGAATTAAAAACGTCATTCCATCCTCTTTTGGAAAAGCTGAAAATGCGTAATTTTATTTTTTATTTTACCGAGGACGTCGTGTATTTGCTTTCTATTTCCAGCAGGTGTCACCCACACATAACTGTGGAAAGAGTAGTAACTGAGAATTTCAGTGATATGTGAACCGAGCCGTAAAATATAGATGTTTATAAGATTGATAAAACCAAAGGCTTAGCAGTTCAGGACATATGAGGCCAAATTAACTTTAAAGCTTCTCCTAATCTCTTCATTTTCCTCTTTAAATATAATAACTCAAGGCAGATATAGAATAAACAATACTTTACAATACTCTTCTCCAGGTTTTAAACCTTTTCAATCATAGCAGAGGGGAAAATGCATTTATTTGTTCATTTAGTTCTTACTTTTAATCTGAGCTGTGACATGACGCCTTTGGTGACTCCTAAAACCGAGAATCTCGAACTCTCCTTTTGCCTGTAGGATAATGTAATGATATGATGATATACATGACATGTCTTCATTATTTAAATCTCCATTTGATGTAAGTGTATGTTTGGCATTTAATAGTGAAAGAAAAATAGCATGAAATTGTTCTTATTGGGTTTGAGCTTTTGTTACGAACCTAAAGGACTCCTGAAAATGGCACATAATATCTCTCATTAACCTCCATTCACATCTGTGCCCGTGTATGACTTTTATCAGAGATTTAAATGTGTGAAACAATAAAAAATAAAGATACTTGTCTGTCAGGCACTTTGGTTTTTTCCACTGAGAATGCACAAATTACACAGCGGTCAGTCGAGTGAGGCTCAATAGCATGATGATGATGATGATGATGCTGCTGATAAGCCTCCCCATCACCCACCCCGCCTTTCGTTTTTAGTTGCTTCTCTCTACCTCTTGCCTTGCCCCATCTTCTGGCCCCTCTCTGCAATCTGTGCCTTCGCCACCTTTGGCGTCAGTCCGGCCGCTGGCACCTGTGCCGGTCCTGGCAACCCAAACCAAGACGCCTTGCTAAGCTCAGTTCAACTGATTCGTTTAGGCAATTGCACTCTGACTCTGATCTGTATGAACGGCAACTTACTCATCCCAGACCTTTGTGTGGGGTGTGGACACGCTGGTTTGCTCAAGTTTCTGTTGTTGGAATCGGGGATGAGTTCAGTTGCTGTTTGTTTCTTTGGGCCAATATACTGTTTCACTGAAATACTTCCAAAATTTTCCCATATGTGGATGATTTCCATCATCATGATTTTCTTATCCTACACAGTTAGCTCATTTTAGATCTCCGCGCTGGGGATATTTGTTGTGGCGTAGACAACTATATGAATGCTATTACATATATATTACAATTAATGCTATAAGGGGATTTTCCTACATCTTCTATACGAGATTTACCCAATTTTCCCCATAGATGGAGGTTAAGAGAAGCAGCCTGAATCCTACGTTTCTTTTTTTTTTTGTGCCATCCTCTCCTTATTCCATTTTCTCTTTCAGCTCAGTGACAGATGGCGAGTCCCTCTCCCCCAGGGGAAGCCAGTCTCTGTGAATGCGGCCGCATGTCAATCACCGGCTCTCATGTGATGGCTCTTGCCAATGACGTGCCAGCCATATGGGCCTGGCATCAGAGCTGGTATGTAACCCACCCAGTCCTGCCTCTGAGGTGCCACACGGCTCCCTCCTCGCGTTTGGGCTGAGGATAGCAGCAGCAGACAGAGCAGGGTGGCAGGAGAGGAGAGAGAGGTGTGAGAGCAGAACGCAGCGCCTTGCTCGCACAAGCATCCGTGCAGGGCGTGTGGATGTGATGCCCACCCGGAGAGAGATGGTGTAAACAAACCCGCTTTGCCCCGTCACTGAGCTCCACCACGGAGGTAGGTTGCACAATTCTAGTCAGTAGACTATCAGATAATGATCCAGATTTGTTTTTGTCTTTGTGCTGATGTCTCTTACAGCCACGGTTAGGGGAGGGTAATTTGGGTTTCGATGCCAGATTGAGATAATGTAATGCTTTAAACCTGTTTTGGAAGAAGGGTGCAGTTTTCCTGGCTCTTTTTGATCATTTTATCGCAAGCGATATGATCAGATTGGGCTTGTAATCTTTTTTAAGGCTTTTTAATTTTTGTTATATATATATATTAATGTTTTTATTACCGGAGGACATCGATCATTCTGTGTTTCATAGATTTCGTTTAAATAAATCCACACTGACCTCAAGAGATAGGTTCTACTTGTCACTTTTGCATTCATAATTTGCATTTTATTGTCTTAGAAAATGAGCAGCATGTGTGTGTGTGTGTGTGTGTGTGTGTGTGTGTGTTTGTGTGTGCTCTTGCATGATTCACGTCAGAGCACTGTGGGGGTAGTATTCTCCACAGAGATACATAGGCTAATTGACAAGGTATTGGTAGGCATTAATTACATTGTGCTTACAAGATTAGATAAAAAATACGCCCTTGGACACCAAACGCACAGCTGAGCTCAGGGTAGTGAGAATCTGAGGAGATCTGTGGATGTGGCAGCTTTTATAATATCTTTAAATTTAATTTTAGCACAGAACTTGTCTATTTAACCCGTGTCGTCGGTGAATGTGGTGACATGAATTCGAAGAGGATTTACATTTTGACTAAGTTGGTTTCAGAAAAAAAAAAGATTATGAGGAGAAATTTAATTAAAAGCTAGATTTGTGTAACTTAAAAAGAGCTTTGATCGGGCTGGAATCTCTGACGGAAAAGAAAGGTATTGATGGAATTATTTAAAAAACAAACAGTCAAGGTCAGTATGAAGACATACTCTAATTTTCGCTCACAAATCTATTATTTATTTATTTATTAAGTCCAGACAACCTAAAGTCCTCAGATGAGGATTTATCTGTGGCCTGCGTGATATGTGCCAAACAGGGTTCATGAACCCGCAGAGAGTTTACTGAGGTTCTGGTGCATTTCATTTTTACACTATCTGGATGTTATAAGTTAGACGCATATATCTGATTTTTTATTCACGATTAAGAAAAAAAATAGAAAAAGGTGTATTTTAAAAATGTAAATTTTAACAAAAATCTGTTTGCTCTCTTGGTCCTGTGTGCGGCCTGTGTGTAATGGAATTCCTCCAAGTTGGTAATTTATTGGACAGAGGAGGGACCCGCACCCCAGTGAGCCCCTTGGGGGTTCAGCTGAATCAGGCCAGTCTGCGCCGTGCTGCTGGAGGGAACAGATCGAAGCGCATGCTGAGGCCGAACAGTGGCCTACACTGTTACTTCATGCCTGAAGAAAAAAAACAAATGCATCTGATTTTCTTGAAAAAAAGAAAGTACTAAATTATAAAGTTTTTATTAAGAGAATGTCCCATAAATATGTTTTTGCTATATATGTTTTAAAAGGTGGAAACATTAAGTGCATTAAGAGCAATTTTATACGACCAATTTGGTTAAGCACAATATGAAACTAAATTGATTCAAATTGAACTAAATATTAAATTAAATATGTTTTACACAAAAGATGACCGGGGTTTTTTGTTTCTAGCAATTGAACAATATTTCATGGCATATAGATAACCTGACTTGTAGAATTTTGAACCCTAGGTGATGGGATAATTTTACAAACTCTAGGTTGTCTCATGCGACTATTTTTCAAACAAAGATGTAACCCACTGTGGAACAGCTGGGATACCCTGCTTGGTGGATTTCAGTCTGAAGAAGTCTTGACGTTCAACGCAAAACTCGGTGATATAAGCCACAGGGCACTCTCACTGCTTATAAAATAATTAGCGAATAATAACTGGGGTTTTTTTTTTTGTTTCTTTCTGAAGATTAGGGACGTCTATAAGCTACGACCCTATGAGGGCTCACCGGAGATTTTTTGCAATGCGTGCTTGTGGGTGCGTAAAAAGCAGGGCGTCCAACAGCCAGGCTGAAGCGCTGTTTGTCTGTCTTGCAGGTTGCATGCCACAATGTTGAGCCGTCTGTTCAGCGAGGTGCTGCCAGACGTCCAGAGGCTCGCAGCCGACTGGGTGGAGGACAATGAGGTCGAGGACGACAAAGCCAAGGAAGATGACCACGAGCCCTGCCACCTCGAGGAGGATGAGCTGGACGAGCCACAGGAAGGCAGCAGTCGAGCTGAGTCTGAGATGGCCGGCGACGATGATGAGGACGAGGAGGCCGAGGAAGAGGAGTGTGGGGATGAGAACAGCGAGGACAAACCCAAGAAGCGCGGCCCAAAGAAACGTAAGATGACGGCAGCTCGCGTGGAGCGCTCCAAGATGCGTCGGGTAAAGGCAAACGCTCGGGAGCGCATGCGCATGCACGACTTGAATTCCGCGCTGGACAACCTGCGCAAGGTGGTGCCCTGCTATTCAAAAACCCAAAAACTCTCCAAGATCGAGACTCTGAGGCTGGCCAAGAATTACATATTAGCCCTCGGGGAGATTTTACGCAACGGAAAGCGTCCAGATGTGGTGACCTACGTGCAGATGCTGTGCAAAGGCCTGTCCCAGCCCACCACCAATCTGGTGGCAGGCTGCCTGCAGCTCAACACCAGGAACTTCCTAACTGAACAGTGTTCAGACGGAGCCCGATTCCACATGCCGAGTTCTCCTTTCTCGGTCCATCCCTACTCGTACCGGTGTTCGCGCCTCTCCAGCCCTCATTACCAGCCCGGAACCGGTGCTCTCAACTTGCGAAGCCACTCCTACGGCTCTGGATACGAGGCCGTGTACCCGCCTGGAGGCACGTCCCCTGACTACAGCAGCCCGGACTACGAAGGCCAGCACAGCCCTCCCGTGTGCCTGAACGGCGGACTCTCCGGGAGGCAGCAGGAGTCCTCTGAGACTGACAGGAACTATCATTACTCTGTGCACTACTCTGGACTGACCACTTCTCGACCCAGCCACAGCATACCCTTTGGGCCCTCGGGTACGCGCAGTGGTGGTGCGCACTCAGAAAACATTCCACCATTCCACGACGTACACTTGCACCACGACAGGGCGCCCCCATACGAGGATCTCAATGCCTTTTTCCACAATTGATTCCATACTACGGTCCAATCAGGCTTATTGACATTCTAATGACAATCCTATAATGTTTAATATTGTTTGGGAAACAAGAAGAGTCTCTAAAGGGAGGTGATGGAGGTGGCAGAAAGAGTCTTTTGATTATCTTCTGTATTCTACTGATGTCATCCCTATACTGTTGTACATCATATCAAAGTGTGTCCAGTATTATCCTGTATGCAGAATGAGTGCAACTGACATAAACAATGTATAGGCCAACATGAAACATGTTATGACTCAAACGACTTAAAATAAAAAAGTGTTTTCTAATCGTCTGAAATGAGCGAACAAATCTTCTTTCTTCACTAGGGGAGCTTTCATTCAGTTACTGCAATATATCATGAAAATAATTCATAAAAAATGTTCCTTGAAAATAAAAAACATAAAAAATAGCACTTAACGGTTGTAATTCAGTAATATTTTTTAATATAACTGGGTGCAAATTTTCCCTGTGGTCAGCAGTCGTGACTAAACACATTCTTGCTGTAAACAACACATTAAAGTCGCTTTTTGCAGGATACACACGTCCTACAGCTCACTCGCTCTCAGGGCAGTGAAAGATTTACAGTAGACAGATTAGAGCAGTAGGCTAAAAGCCTTTTATCTCTGCTCAATGCCAATATGTACTTGATCTCTGCTTTATAAATTAAAAATTTATGTACGTTGCTAGACAACAGCTTATTAGAATCAAACGCAGAAAGGAAAATCATTAAATTTTGGAGTGAAGTCTGTGACCCTGGCTTTTAGGTCCCAAAATATCCAACGAACAAAAACATTTTGAACACAGCTGATAGTTAGAAAATCTGGACTGCTGAAGGCGTGGGTTAATTAGGTTAACAACCACTTGTAACAGCCTCTACGCATGCGCACTGTAAAGTAAAGGCTACGATAAACAAGTATAGAAATCAAACAAACCTGTTACACAAACTGAAACAGCACTTTGAGTAAAAAGAAAAAGAAATTGGGCTGTATTTCACTGTGCCATAATGTGCACTCATTAAAGGCACATTCTCCTGCTTCCTAGCAGGATGCATCCTTGAACTTTGAAGAGGCCTGGAACAGAATTATCATCCATAAGGAGTGATGTACCCTGCTAAATGGCAAGTATGTAATGCTAAATCTGAGGCCAATTCTTTGAGGCGATATGTAACCCAGCCACAGGGGAGGGGGGCACAAGCCAGTGTAATCCTAGTGCCGCTCACAAGCCCAGAAAACGGGGAGAGTTGCGCTAGGAAAAGACGTCGTTGCCAAATCAAATATGCGGATAATATACTTGAGATGTGTTGCTTTTAAAACACATTTTATTTTAATTTATTTTTAGCAGTTCGCACGGCAACCTTAACGAAACCCTCAAGTGTTTGGCGATAAAATCGTGCCATATCTTTTTTGGCTTCCATCTTTTTATTTTGTGGGTTGCGTTTTTTCCTCCTTATTCTTCTTTTTTTTTAACTCCACGGTTTTAAATTCTCAACAATGGAATGCATGAGATCCGTTCAAGATGGGTATAGTTTAAAGGCCCCTGAATGCAGAGCGTAGGAGGAAGAACAAGTGGTCTGCAGAAGCTGGGCGCCTGGCATTCAGATTCAGATTCTCTTTTCCAGCACACCGCGCATGGATCTGGGCCCTGTCACGCCACCGTGGTTTGATTCTCAGGTGAGTGTATTTGTCCAACAGCTTAAATAATAGAATGACCTCATTAAAGATTCACAACACTTACTTAATGCAAAACAATAATATTAATATTAACACTGACCACAAATAAGTCATTGGTAAAGTTTTTAATGCTCGCTTTAAACCACGTTTTGGCAAGAGCTGAAGTTAAACTCCTCCTTTTGAGCGAATAGTTCACAGTTTAATCATGTGTGGTCGAGATCGTATTTTTGGTGATTTCTCATATCACTGGAGAAAGCAGCCACCATCTTTGGACCAGTGCCCTGGGTCCCATATGTTGCTCTGGACATCCAGGGGAAATCAGTACCGGGCACCGCAGGGTGGAAACGGTCCCATCCAAGCACTAACACAAGCAAAAAAGAAAAAAATGTCAGCAAAAATGTACGTAAAAAAGATTTGCACTGCAAAAACATCGATTCGGTACTGTAAGAATTTTATTTTTGCATTTTAATTTAATTACATTTTACCATTAAAAAAAAGCCCATCTGACGCCCTAAAACGGTGAAAGAGATGTGCAGGTGCAAAATCAGGTGAGTCAGTGGCCCGTTCCCCTGAAGATCAAGTCCGTGCCAGAATAGACATGCACGCACACCTGCACCGTAAAGTCTAAACCACCAACATAAATGATACATAGTAGTAACATATATCCTGTATAAATACAGAAAATGCACAGTTTTGAAAGGTTTTGGCAGGGCCGCAGTTTTGGTGATCGTGGAAGGGCAGACAAGCAAACATGGGTTAAAAGGCCATTTTTGGTCCGAGAAAGTTCTCAGATAACGAGCTTGATGTCTTTTAGGAATTTAAATGATTAATTTATTGTAATTTATTTTACTTTAATATTTACTAAACGGATCTAACCCTTAAACATAATTTTATTTTTTCATTTATTTATTTCTACTTTTGAAGGGAAAATCACGCAGTTTTGTATTATGCGTGCACTCAACTATAAACTGACTTAACCTAAACATGGTTAAAAGCATTTGCACGCTAAGAAATATTTGATATTAAAGTGATTTTAAAAAATCGTAATTTGGGGTTTACATCTTTTCTTTTGCATCCGGCGTCTAATATTTATTATGTGGTGTTGCCCACGAGTGCGTAAAAAAACCGCAAAAACAATTTCCAGAAAACAATTTTGATTAATTCAAGTAACGAAAAGCTTCTTAATTTTGGAAACTCTTAGATTATATATTAATTAGCCAGCATTAGAAAGAAAAGGAAAACTTTATGTCCCTTGAACGCTTGTATCCTACAAGTGGCTGTATGCCTGAAAGCGAGTGTGGCCACACAGACGTATATTTTTAACGTTTTGCATAAGATAAAATTAGGTTGCATAAAACAATCTTGGGAAAATAAAGTGATCACCACCTGATATTTCCGGTATCCCCTCTCACCAGGCCACTATTCTGTCCCGGGTGAAGGGCAGGTCTCAGAGGGCAAGCTGAGAGGGTACATTTTTCACTTTATTTTCCGCTGTAACCTGACAGTTCGGTGGTGGACTTCTTTTAGCGAGGAGGGTGCCGGTTGGCAGTGGATTTGATGGCTGAGCTCAGTGCCAAGTCGCTAAATGTCTGAGCACCAGTAAAGCCAGAGACTACTAGAGCCCACCATCACCAACCCGGGTGCCAGCTGCGCCACGTGGCAGCCAGGCGGCCCCTGCCAAAGTGGCCCTTGTGGGAGGGACCCAGTATTTCTTTCCTAATTCACTCAGCATCTGTTCATTATTCTCCGCCGTTAAAGGAGGCTGTGTGCCCCGGCCCCGCGCAGAAAGGGACCCTTTTTCCCCCGGTCGTGCACTTTTGAAGGAGACTGCAGAGAGACCGAGCGTGAAACTAATCGGACACTGAACTGGGTTAAAGAGGTGTCCGTTTCACCTCCCGTTAGTCCCTCCTGCAGCACTCTTTTAAATGGTGCATGACTTTTAACCCTTTAAACTCACCTGTGGGTCCAGGGGCATTCAGAAAATAAAAACAAATAATAATAATATTATTATTATAATCATTATAAATGTCAAATTAGCCCTTGAACAGTGTTCCACTGACACCCATACGTCTATGGGCCTCGGTCTAAAACAATTACCCGATTAATTATTTATCATTACGGGTTTCAAGTTAGATTTGCCAGATCTTAATAAAATATATATTTACATCTTACATTATCGTAGCTACACGTGGTATTTCTGGATATCTATGACAAATCGGGTTAAGTGACATTACTAATGACCAAAAAAAACAATTTCTCTGGTATCGCGTTTAGGCGTAATTGTTCAAATGAGTGTTTATAAAATACCGTGCAATTACTGTAATTAAATAATCCAGCTCAGAGCTACAATTTGGCGATTCGCTAAAGTCGCCGGACACCACACAACACTCGCGACACTGCAAACAGGTCACAAGGTAGTCCCAGGCTTACGGGAGCCTACACAGATCTCCATCTGGACCGCTTTACTCCCATTTATCAGATTAGGTAAACATTTGCCGGATTAATTGTATTGGGATTAATCTCGAAAATGTATTTAATGGTTTAATGGGACTAATCAGTGTCATAGCATAGAGTGTTTGTGCGTTAGAGGAGAGAGAGAGAGAGAGACAGGCGGAAGGCACAAATAAATCAGGCTTAAAATAACTTAGTGCTATTAAAAGAAGAGTGACAAAGTCCCAATGCAGCACCAGGATCACTCACTGGAGAGCTTCTGTGGGGCCCAGTGTGTGTGTGTGTGTGTGTGTGTGTGTGTGACACATAGAGAGAGAGCTCTATATAATATGCAACATGTTTTGTCACTTACTCCCCAACAGTTGAAGAGAAGGCACAAGAACAAAAAAAATGTGTCTTTTAATTTTTCATCCTTGATCTTTTTATTCCTGGCTAAATTCTGCACTCACCTCCACTGCAGTGGGCACTGCATCATATTTAGCCACCGTGCCCCCTCCCACCATTACCACCCTGCCAGCCTGAGCGCCACGCCCAGCTCTGTGAAAAGAGATGAAGCTGGCATGGGGTGAAATTCCACTGCATCTGCAGAACAATAGTGTTGTGTGCAAGTCTGTGTGATTGGGTACAGTCACACAGACATGTGCATGGCTGACTGTCTTTGTGTGTTGCAGGGTTATTACATTTATTATTTTTCTTTTTAAAATGCAAGTGTAAAAGTATCAGACCTCAAAAAAAAAGATGCACACACAACTCAAACACACTGATACCCACCACTCACACACTTGATGGTGAGTATGAAAGCACACAGAGCCCATCAGTGAGGATTTGTCATGTTTGATGTGTGTGTTTGCCCCAAGTGCCTGTGTGTGTGTGTGTCTGTGTGTGCAGTGTACAGTCTGTGTTGTGCATGGTAGGCTATAGAGGTTGTTGTCACTCTGCACAGATGGTGGGAGTGTTTTTTATTTATTTTTTGGGGGAGTGTGAGGAAATGAGAAGGGGAGGAGGGGGGCAGAGGAAGAGGGAAAGGAGAGGCGAGGAGGAGGGTTGCGTCTCTGATGCTGCCATGCCACGGTCACACGGGCAGCAGTAATTGGCCTCCATATTGAGGGGTTTTGCGGTGCTGCAGGGTGGGCAAACTCCCAGCTGGACCTGTCAGATGGTATTCAATCCA